CTTATTACAAACAAAATTTTCAAAAATTTTATTTAAAAACAAAGCTAGCCATGAAAATTTACGATAGCTTATTTTTCTATTGGCTATTTTATGCAGAATTAAGAGTTAATAATTAGTGGTGTCAACAGCCAATTGTGATTTTTAACTTTTGTGCAATTTTTTTATAGTAAAAAATAAATTCATTTTTTTTTTGTTAGTGATGCACAGCGTTACGAAAAATTTAGAAAGGGTACACAAAAGTCATAAGTTTGGGAAACACTGATATACTACATATAAATTCCTCAAAATCTATTTTCTATATTTACCCTTGTATTTACTCATCATTTTGATTTATATGAATTTGAAATTAATATGTGATCCAAAATTAGTTATGTATTGAACTGCTTTAGAAAAAAAAATTCGATCGGTTTTGACAGTGAAAAAAAATTATTAGTGATATATTTGTTAGAAAAAATTAAACATTGCTTTATTTCAGCATATTTGTTTGCAGTATTTGGAAATTAATAATTGGATACGTACATTTTACCATATAAATAAAAAAAAATGTGTTGTTTTAATGCAGAGTTTTGATTTCTATATATTTTAAATATCATCGTTTTATAAATTTAAAACCAGAAAACGAACTATAATTTCATAAGTTTTAGAAAAGCAGACTATATGTTAGTTGTATGTTTATATTTTTTTTGGAATAAAACTGTGTCTAAAAAATATGCATGTTATAAATTTAGAAAAATTTCTTGTTATATGCTGATGGTAAAAGAGCTAATCTTAAGAGGAATTTTTGATATCTAATGAAATGAAATTTTTAAGAACTGTTTATAAATTCGCAATTTTTACAAAAATTGATTATTTTGGAAAACCGCTCGCTTTAAGTTCGTTCGTATATATTTTTGTATTTAGTATTTTGATTAACTTTTTTGAATCTAAATTGATATAGATTGATAAGAAATGATTTTAAAAAATATTAAGGGATACTGCCCAAATAATTATTTAAAGGAATTCTAACAAAAAAAAATATGGCCAAAACAACTAGAATATGGATAAATTTACAGTGTTGCTCCCTCCATGGGAACACCAAAAAGTTTCGTAATTTTTACCAAAGCGCTTTATTAAGGATTTTGGTAAAATTAACAATAAAATATGACTTTTATAACATGTGATATAATTTGGTAAATGTGGTAAAATTTAAAAATTTTATCATGATACTTTAGAGCATGGTAAAAGAGCCATTTATTGGATGAAATTTTTCATTGGCCCTTTATTGGATGATACTTTTATGTTTTTTAATTTTAAGTTTTTCATTTTTTCTAAATGTGTGTTAATAAGAACGATAATTTTAAGAATCAGAATTTCCGGTAAACCGTTACCATAGGAACGAATTGCACATTTTGATGTTATTTATCAGAAATATGTTTTTTTTTTTAAATAATTTTTCTTTTTTACCGGAAATGTCCAGTACTGTAATTTTACGAGAATTTTTTTCTGTGAAAGGAAAAATGACTGATGTCTTATTTTAATTTCGTTTGAAAGTGAATTTTAGAAAATTAAAAATAATATTTACTTTTTCAACACAGACATTTTTAAGTTTCACGTTTTTCAAGTTTTTTACCGAAACATTTGTTTGAAATCTGGGTCAGAGTTAATTAAAATATAGTCATAGGAACTAAAATTGCGAGTCAAGATCTAGTGTTTCTGAATTTGATTATTCTTTTTTTCGTTGTTGGTAAATAATCTCTTCCCGAATAATAAACTGTTTCATATGAAGTATTTGCAAATATTTCTGAAATATTTGCAATTATTTGCATATATTAAATAATTAATCAAGATTCTAGTGAGTGAAACTTAGATCAGTCATAGAGATAATTTTAATTTGTTTTCGGCGCCATCAAACATACAAAAAACAATTAGTCTATGAATGTAATTTTCAGTTGATTTATTACTCTGCTAGTTAATGGAATAATATTTTTAAATTCTTTCGAATTATATTTCAAATGTCTAGTAAGGAAAGTGGGAGATACATGATGGCATCTTTAAAAATAATTTTTAAGATCGTTAAACACTTTGATATTTATTCATTTTAAAGTTTTTTTTATTTATTAAAGCTTACCTAAGCATTGTTATGTAAATTTGTTAGACACTGCGTAGGATCATTCTTCATTTTGATGAATAGTTGGTAGAGGAAACTTTAATTTAAACAGTTCAAACCATTTTTTTTAAAAAATTGAACGGAGAAATTAAAATTATTTCTCATTCTTATTGGTATAAATGAAATTAATTTAAATTTGATTTAGTACTTTTGATACTTTGGGAGGAACATAATAATTATCGTTAACTTTTCACACCTGCTTTTGTTAAAAATGCAAACCAAAAAGCAAATTTTTTATATACTTTTTCTGTTTCATTTTTTCTGAAAAAATAAATTTATTTAAATTTCTGTTGTTAAAATTCTGTTTGATAAATAATTTCTTTCGTTTCGTCCTTTTTTCCCTATTTTATTTTTGGAACTTTCAAGGTCATAGGTTACATGGTGTGTGTGTACGTGTATATATATATATATATATTCTGCAAATGTTTTTAATAAAACATGTAAAAATTGCTCGACACACTGAAAAAAAAAGTATGGTCAGAACTACTAGAATGTGGTAAAATTTACCATGTTTCTTGCCAGACCAGTAAGCACCAAAAAGCTCGTTTTTTTACCGGAGCACTTTGGTAATGATTTTGCTAAAATTAATCACAAAATTGGTGTTATAATATATGAAAAATTTGGTAAATGCGGTAAAATTTGGTGGTTTTGTCATGATACTTAAAAGCATTGCTAAAAAATCCATTTATTCGATAAAATTTACTTTTCAATTTTTATATTTTTTAAGGAACTATACTTTTAAAAATCAAAATTTTCGGTAAACTGTTACTATATGAAAGGAAAAATTAATCAAATGAGTGGTTTAAATACCGTATATTTTGGTTTTATTAACCAGATTTATGAATTCTTTTACAAGAAATATTATTACAGTAAACTACATTAATTTTACCAGAATTCTTTCCTTCTGGCAGGATAATATATTTTTCGTATAAAATTTTCGCTATAAAAAAGAGAACGATATGCATTTATAAGAATAATTATTTGAAATTCACGACAGTTTGTATAATATTCTATGCGTTCAATATTGCCACCAGTTGAAGAATAATAATTAATTGCTTTCATTATAAGCTACATAGCTTGTGGTTGCAGTCGTCATTTTTTGCACACAAATGGTTTTTAGAACAAGTAAAAAAAATTGCAAACCACAAAAATTTTCATTTTTAAGTTTTCTAGCTATAAAATAATATTGTTCTTTTCTTTCTTTTTCTTTTTTTTTCCTACATTTTTTTTTGTTTGGCAAAAACTTTCCATTTCAAAGGAGACTCAAGCCAATTAATCATGTTTAAGTGATGGAACTTGCAGATCGAATACTTCAAAAGCTGTTGCTCTACATGAAAGGATTAACCGAAGTAAAATAAACAGAAATCGGTCAAAATGTATTATTTAGTAAGAAAAAAAAAGTTCTAAAACATCGAACACTGTCGCGATTAACAGATAAATTAATTTGTTTTATCTCTGAAGGACATCCATAATATTTGATCCGCTTATAAGGTGCGGGTATGTACTTAGATCAGCGTGTGATGAAGTCTTATGACTAATTCCATAATGCTCTTAACATCCAACAAAATCTGATAAAAAGTACTCGAAAGATAAGCGAGTTGAAAGAAATTTTAAGAAGCTAGGTAACTTAATACTTATTTATAATTTTTCTTTAAATAAAAAATACCATAAGATAAATGAAATGATTAAAGTAAGTAAATTCGAATTGAAATGCTTGGGATCGTTGACTGCTTTGCTCTCTCGGAAGAATCGGTTCAAAGTTGGACCATACTGGCTCAACTTTGGTTCAAATCCACAACAACATTAACCCTTCTGCTGCTCATCCCGCGATTTCCACAGGCAACTCATATGTAGCTAAATTTGCTCGTTCCGAGATTTTTGTGGGCATGTGTTTTTCTTCCTTACTTGAAGAGCGCATCCCACTTTTAACTAGTGAAATAAATTATAAACAGTAATAGATGTTTAGTTTAGACTTTGACCTAAAATTAGCACTTTTTACTATTTGTATAGTTCGATGAACAAATAATTATAATTTGTTAAAAATATATATATATATTCCGCGATGAGATAATATTCTATAATAATATTCTTTGAATTGGGAATACTATAGCCTACGTCACAGGTCGTGTTATTCCTACTAAATTTACCTAAAAAGGGTATTTTTTGCGACCCTAAGTATAGCAACAAATGAACATTAAGCGAAGTGTGTTGTTATAAGTCGCTGCTTGCCAAGTTGGAATTGTATTGGTCTAGTTCTTTTTTAAGTAATTGATTTTGTTGTTTCATCTCAGTTCATGTGTTTAGTAAACATATTTAAAACTCAGTTTATTTTCTTATTGAACTAAAAGCTAAATGTTATTCCTAATAAAATTTCAGAAGTGGAAGTAGTTGTGTTTGTTTCATATTTTACCCAGTGATTTTTTATGCATTCTTTCAAAATACTTTCTGTCTTAAAATCGTTTGCTTTATTTTTCTTGTAACTAAAAGTTTCTCTGAGATTATTTTCATTTTTATTTTTCATTTATTATAAAGTTTTGTCGTGTACATTTTTTATTATATATATAATAAGATAAACAAATAACGATAATTTCAAACAAAAAACAATAAAATAATTTTTTTTGAATAAAATAAATAAAGAATTGTGGTGTTTCACGTTCTTTTAAAATAAGTAAAAGCAAGCGAACCATAACATTCTTTTACATAATCGTTTGCTTTTTTACTCCTTAAACTAAAATCTTCTCTGACAGTTCTAAAAAAAGCAACATTTTTTCCTTGAATTGATCTATCGGTAGGTGTTTTTACGCAATTTATTCCTACAAGAGCGGAGAAAAATTATAGTCTGAGATAAACGAAAGCAATCGTTTTGTTGACATATACACGTCACTTCCTCCAAACTCTCTTTCTTCGCGCTTGCGTTCTTCTCTCCAATTGATTTCCTTTTCGAACATGCGCTCAACTGACCACGGAAGTACTGGCAATCCTACTTTCATCTCCTCTCCTCCGTATTTCGAAATCACGAAACTCCATCACCATCCCTCTTCCTACATCCGAAGCGGTCATTCAACATTTCGTTCGGTGGATCACAACTTCGTGTTGATCGTGTAGAACATAATCCAAAGCCGCCGCAGGTGCTGTATTAGAAAAAGCTGACAGATCGTGATAGGGATTCTTACCTGGTGTGTGCGTGCGCGGGATTGTCCCACTCACCTACTACACATCCAGGTGTGTTATCTCGCAAGAAAATATCTGAGCAAACAGAGCGATATGAGCGTTTTAGGCATCGATGTCTCTCACGAGATGGTAGTATGTTCCGTGTGTGTTGTGGTACTGGGACTACTGACTCTATTCCTAGTGATGGTTTGCATGTTGAGCCTAGCTGTTCACAAAGACCGAAGTCGCATGGAATAGCCGGCATGGATGATGCGGTTTATAGACCGCTTTCGCCTGGCATGGATGCCGGGGTAAGTCGACCGCGGTCGCCATGGAAGCGGTCTGTTTTCTTGAGACAGGAGGAGAGGAGGGGGCATTTTATTGCCGACGGACTGGACGTATGCTCGTCAAGGCAGTATGACCGGCATATCCAGAGAATTAAAGGTCAGTTTCAGTACTGATTAGTGATCTAGAAGAGCTTGTGTATCTTATCTAGATGTTGAGCTTCATTAATATATATATAAAAAAAATCGCTTTTTTGTGTTAGCTTTTAGTGCCAAGATAATCGTCTTCCGAATTTAAAATTATGCCAAATTCATCAAATATAGAAACACTCATCAAATAGCTAGATGTTGAGTTTTGTTAAAATAAAATTCACTAAATTGTGATTGTTTTTAGTGCCAAAATTATGCCAAGATAATCGTCTTCCGTATTTAAAATAATGCCATGACAAATTTTGAATTAACTTTTCTTTCTCTGATGTTAAAAACATTCACTAGAGCCTATGCACGTAGTGTCATGCTTCTTGTAATTAAATAACATTGAATTGCTTTTTGTGCTGTGTTGCTTCTTTTTTCTGGGTTTTGTTTCTGTGCACAGTATTTATTTATTCTAACCTTTGTCTTTAGCTCTTTCTGCACTCTTTGAACCTATGTAATTCTTTTGAAATTTGGTTCTCGTAATTCAAAGATAATCTAATTAATAAAACTAATATCGTTTACTTTACCCTTTGACCCACGTGAAATACCGGTGTCTCTCTTTTATGTATTTTGTTTGACGCTCTAAGTACAAGCAAAATATATTTTCGTATTTTGTAATTTTAAAAAACAGTCTAACAGTTACTTAAAAAAATCAGTTAGATTATCGGAATTCTATATGTAATAAAACATAAAATTCGAAAAAACGTAGTTCGAAATTTTTTTTCGTTCATATTCAAAAATTTATCAATAATTGATTTTGTAAATTAACGAAACTTCATTGATGAATAACTGTTTCTTTTAGATCCAAATAACTGCAAATTTAAAAAATTATTGTTTGGAAGTGAGCCATGCTAAAAATATTTTACTTTTAACGCATAAATGGCACCAGTGTTTCATGCTGCGTTTTCATACCATAAATTATTAAAATGCCTAATTGTAATAATTTTTCCTTTATTTTGACCTAAATTAATGCAAAATAAGGAAAGAAGTTAAATAAGGAAATATGTTTAAATAATTCTGTGTCAAAAGGTTAATTTATATATTTTTCCAGCATTACGATTTAATTAAGTTGAGAGACAAAAACCTGAATAGATAATTCCATCAATTTACCGATAATAGTTGCTGATTATTCATATTCTATGAAAGGAATAATTTTTATTACCTGCTAGTGTTATACCATTCATTCATAACATTCATAAATTTATCTGATCGCATATTCATACGCTGATGTATATTCAGATATATATTCAATATATATTCAGAATATAATATCTAGCTTTGGAATTTCAAATAGATTACATTTATGGAATCATATACTTTTTGCATTTTTCTTAATTTTGATCAAATATTTAAATGAAGGATTAGACTGCTATAAATTTTAATAGATCTAATAAGTTTTTTAATTACATAAAAACTAACTTTCATTTCAATAGATTAAAAATAATGAACAGAATGTATAACAAAGAGGTGGGTATATAAAGGAATAATTGGCCTGAAAATTATTACTAACTAAACGTAAAATTTAGTCTCAATATTCAGTTAGTATTTGGTCCATAAATTTATTGAAGTCATAAGTAAAAAAATTCAAATTAAATTATGAGCTATGGAAAAAATTCGGAAAAATAACTATATAATAGTCAAGCTTCAAATTTTTAGCATCTCAGTAAAATAATTATAATTTTAACGCACATTTTCAAATCAATGTGTTTTTAACGTTTTGAAATACAAAGAATATATTAAACTGAAAATTAGAAAAATAGGAAAAATTGTTGGAAAAAGGGAAAACTAGAAACAGTATTTAAGGCTGCATGTAATATCTCCTAAATCAAATATTGAAATGTAAATAATTTTCTATATATTATTTTGAGACTTTAATTCTATTTAAATGTTTTAATTTGAATAGTATCTCAATTGGAATTAATTCCATGTTCAGAGAAACATTAAGAATTCTAAGGAATGATGGTATTTGTGTTCATTTTACTGAGAAAAAAATTCCATTCAACACCGAATAAATATGAACACAAGAATTTGAAATTTAATGTTTCAGATTTAAATAAATATTGCATTATTATTATTATTCACTTAGTAAGTTTAATGATTTAACATTTTAAATTAAGATTTTAGTGTGTTGAATTTAATCATTTAATTAATATAACATTTAGAAATCTCCTAGAGGAAAGTATTTTAATTTTTAAAAAAAACTAAAAATTCTTAAACACTCAGCAGCGAAATTAAGATATTTCTAATCATTTAGGATATTATTTCAACTATGTTTCATTTTCAGTTAACTTTGTCCATCAATATCCATTATTCGATAGTCTATTATTTTGAAATATTACCCTATTGCTTGTTATTTACATTGTTACTTTAATTTAAATTCAGACTTCAAGATTTTTTATAATTAAATGTCCACGGTTGTCATAACATTACATAATATAGATTTATTAAACACGAATTAATAGTACTCCTTCATTTTAATTTTCTCGTATAGAGGATCATTATAATTACTTTAAAACTCCATAAAAATATGAACTCGATGGATTAATTATTAAATATTCATGGAGATCATGAAATATCATAGTTATTCTTTTATTATTATTAACAGTAAAAATTATTATTTGTTTTATAAATTTTTTTAATACCTTAGTTTTTAACGACTTATTTGACGTTTGTTTGANTGGAATTAATTCCATGTTCAGAGAAACATTAAGAATTCTAAGGAATGATGGTACTTGTGTTCATTTTACTGAGAAAAAAATTCCATTCAACACCGAATAAATATGAACACAAGAATTTGAAATTTAATGTTTCAGATTTAAATAAATATTGCATTATTATTATTATTCACTTAGTAAGTTTAATGATTTAACATTTTAAATTAAGATTTTAGTGTGTTGAATTTAATCATTTAATTAATATAACATTTAGAAATCTCTTAGAGGAAAGTATTTTAATTTTTAAAAAAAACTAAAAATTCTTAAACTCCTAGCAGCGAAATTAAGATATTTTTAAACATTTAAGATTCAACTATGTTTCACTTTCAGTTAACTTTGTCCATTAATATCTATTGTTTTAAAATTTTACCCTAGTTACTTGCTGTTTGCTTGCTATTTACATTGTTACTTTAATTTAAATTCAGACTTCAAGATTTTTTATTATTAAACGTCCATGATTGTCATAAAATTACATAATATAGATTAATCAATCACGAATTAATTGTACTCATTCATTTTAATTTTATGAGAATAGAGGATCATTATAATTACTTTAAAACTGCATAAAAATATAAACGTGATGAATTAATTATGAAATGTTCATGGAGATCATGAAATATCATAGTTAATTTTTATTATTATCAACAGTAAAAATTATTATTTTTATTAATTTTTTTTAATACCTTAGTTTTTAACGACTTATTTGACGTTGGTTTGAAACACTGTTTTAGCATTTTTTCTCCTTACAAGTAGAAACCGTTAAGGAAAATATCCTGTTTGTGAGCTGTTTTGTGGTTATAAATAAGTTGTTTTATGATACTAAACTACTTGAAATTCTTTATTTGTTTCTTATATAAAGAATATAATAAATTAACTTTTAGCCTTCATAACTCATTTTCTATCGCGTGAGAATGTTTTGTAACTGAAAATTATTCGGACAGGTTTTATTTCATTCAAATATTATGAAAATAATAAAATAAAAAACATAATATTTTTCAAAATTTTTAATTTAAATGATACCTTTTACAATTAATTTTCCTAATTAAAACAGTTTAATTTTATTAAATAAAATAAGACATTGACTCTATGTAGAAATTACAATAAGCTGCGGTTCCCAAGAATTTATTAATTGGTATTGATGTTTCGTTCAACCAATTATTTTAAAATATTTTGTGAGATCTAAATATTGCCTTAATATGTTATTTTATTGAACCACGAATTTTTAAAAAGGAACATTAGAAAATTTATAAGAAAATGTTAACGTAAAATCTTTATTATAAATTTTCTTTTCCCCCTTTTAAAATAGATGTTAGATATTAATATACATCATGTTTTACGAATCATTTCGAAACAATTGATTCTAGCTGTGAAAATTTTAAAATGCTCATGAATTTATCTGCCCGCACATTCATACGCTCTTAAATTTATCATGCTTTACAAATCATACTGAAACAATTGATTCCACCTTAATTCAAAATTTATTCAATTTATAGAAAATTTAAAAGCTCAGTTTAACATATTTTTTACTGAAATATGCATGCAAATTTTTCTTATATTTTATTTAAAAACGTTATGCTTTTGTAAAAAAATGCAAAAACTTGAAAAAATATCTAATATCTGCTTTTTTTTATAAAGCTGATATTTCGAAATTTATTATTTTAATTTTTTTGCGTTCTATGTTCGAGGAACAATTTTATTTCATGTGGACATACGTACGAAACAAAAATACATTTTTTTTCCGTGTACGTGTTATTTTCAGGAATAATTTTCGCATAGCTTATCACTCGGACTGTCATACTGATTTTTGTCATTTGAAGGATTTTATTGGAACTAGCAAATATTTTAATAATGCAAATGATCACGAAGTTATCCTACCAAACATTTTGTCTCGATTTTCATACGTTTACCATATTTATTCTTCATTCCAGTCAAGACATATTGCATTATTCCTGTTTTTTTTGTCAAACAAATATATTTTAATTAAAGAAATTTTAAGATTAGAATTATTGTTGATTCACAAAATACCGTACAATCAGTTGATTTTGTATTCAGAATTCAACAAAATGTTGAAATATTTATTTTTTTTACTTAGGAATATTATTCTGCATTCGTAACATTGTTCATTTAATAATTTCGAAGAATACTCTATTTTAACAACTCTAACACTTCATTTTAAATTGAATAGAATAAAGTAAAATAAAGGAAAAATAAAAGGAAATTTGATGGTTGTCATATTACTTTTTAGTGGACA